GTGGCCGCTCCCAGCTACTGCAGCCTCGACCTGCTGGGCTCCGGCGATCCTTCCGCCTCAACCTTCCAAGTAGCTGGAACTACAGGCATGCGCTACCACGCCTGACTGATTTTTTTTTATTATTATTTATTGTAGAGATGAGGTCTCGCCACCCAAGCAGGTCTCACACCCGCGGGCTCAGGCAATCCACTGACCTCAGCCTCCCAAAGGCGCAGGATTACAGGCTGAGCCACCGAGCCCGGCGAGTTATTTTGAATGATGCTAATTTCTTTTTTCTTTTTTTTTTTCTTTTTTTTGAGTTAGAGTCTCACTCTGTCACCCAGACTGGAGTGCAGTGGCCGCTCTTGGCCACCACAGCCTCGACCTGCTGGATTCCGGAGATCTTCCGCCTCAGCCTTCCAAGTAGCTGGAACTACAGGCGTGCGCTACCACGCCCGGCTCATTTTTGGTTTATTGTAGAGAAGAGGTCTCGCCAAGTTGCCCAGGCAGGTCTTGAACCCGTGGGCTTAGGCAATTCACTCACCTCAGCCTCCCAAAGGTGTGGGATTACAGGCTGAGCCACCGAGCCCGGCTTCTTCCCATGCTTTGGATCTGGGTTTGGCCATATGATTTGCTCTGGCCAATGGAGCAGTAGAAAATATAATGCAAGCAGAGACTTGAACAGTCATTGTGCTTTGAGACTAATGCTCTTGCTGTGTTTAGAACCCTGAGACCACCAAGTGAATACATCCAAGATAGACTGTTGGAAGATGAAAAGTAAGAGAACTAAAGCACCTGACCAATAGCTTGCCCACCTCCAGACATGGGAGTCAGGTCTCCTGGATCGTCTTACCTCCAGCTAACCTATTAGACCAATGAAAGAACCCAGTAGCTACCAACTGAATCGGCTCAAACCAAAAGAAACTCCCGATAGACCCACAGAATTATGAATAAAATCACATGGTTTTTGTTTTGTTTTGTTGGCTCATCGGGCACCTGATGACTCTGAGTAGTTTTTTAAAAAGTCTTATTGAAGGATAATTTAATACCATGAAAGTCATCTACTTTAAGTATATAAGTTAATGCATTTTAGAAAATGCATAGAGTTATGCTACTATGACCACAATACAGTTTTAGAACATTTCTTTATTTTTTTTAGTTGGAGCCTCACTCTTGTCACCCAGGCTAGAATGCAGTGGCATGCTCACGGCCACCACAGCCTCGACCTGCTGGGCTCCAGCGATCCTTCTGTCTCAGCCTTCCATGTAGCTGGAACTACAAATGCATGCCACCATGTCCAGCTAGTTTTTGTGATTTATTGTAGAGGCGAGGTTTCACCAAGTTGCCCAGGCCGGTCTCGAACCCATGGTCTCAGGCAGTTCTCTCTTCTTGGCCTTCTAAAGTGCTGGGATTACAGGCTGAGCCACCGTACCCAGCTGTTTTAGAACATTTATATTGCTAAAACATTGCCTTGCACCTGTTTCCAATGAATTGGCTCCACCACTCCAGCCCCAGGCAACCCCTGATCTGCTTTTTGTCTCTATGATGTACATTTCATGTCAATAGAATCACAGTCTATGGTCTTTTGCATCTGGCTTTTTTCATTTCATGTAATTTTTTTTAGATTCATCCAAGTTGTAGCATGTTATCAGTAGTTCATATATATGGTCTATGAAGACTCAAGTAGTTCATTCATTATTGCTAAATAGTAACCAATTGCATAGATAAACCACATTTCATTGATCCACTCACCATATGATGGACATTTGGTTTGTTCTCAGTTTTTGGCAACTACCAGTAATGCTGCTATGGACATCCATGTGCTAGTCTCTATGTGGCCACATGTTTTCATTTCTAGAAGCAGAAAACTGGAGTGGAATTGTTGGATCATGTGATAAGTGTATGCTTAACTTTTTACGAAACTGCCTGTTTTCTGAAGTAGCTGCCCTATTTTACTTTCTCAACAGCAGGCCTGAGGGCTCCCTGTTCTCCTCAACACTATCCAACCAGAAGCTCTTTTAGCTGGGGCTGCTACACTGCGAGAATGTGAGTCTGCTGCTTCCAACAGCAATTCATTTGCTGCATCATTCATTCAGCAAATATTATCTGAATGCCTACCACTACCAGGTAGGCTCTGGTCATGCAAGAAGTCCCTGGAAAACACTGTAAGATGGAGAGATACAGCACCCTGGTAACATTGTTTCAGCACACTGGTCTTGGTTCTCCCTGGGCCTTTCAGTTGTAGGAGGCGGGTAGGAGGCGGGAATTCCCTGATGGCAGCTTGAGTTGGAGCTGCTGCAGCTGAAAAGGTCTGCCAGTGTATCCTTCCAATCCACTGAAGCCCAAATAAATCCAAGTTATTGTTCTCCCCCATTCCAGGAGGGAATACCAACCAACCTTGGAACCTAGAGTGTCAGGAGATGCTGGTACCCTGCAGTCTATGGCAGTACCAGAGGAAGCTAGAGAGGGCCTCGAGGATGCCAAGAGGGGCCTGAATAGACTGTGGAGGGTCTGAGAAAGGGATCAGTTCAGATGGGTGTTTGAAAGGATTTGTTCCTAATCATATTTGGGACTCTCAAAGGCTTCCTGTTTTGTGGGTGAAAAGCAAGAAAACAGGATGTACAGATACAGATGTAGTTAGGGAGAGAGAGGAAGAAGGCAGAGAAATGCACCAACTTTTTAGCTGTGCTATCACTGGACCTGGGGATTGTGGGAAGCCTTGCCTTGTCTATTTACTTTTTAAATCTTTTTCTTTTTCTTTCTTTCTTTCTTTTTTGTTTTGAGACAGGGTCTCACTCTGTCACTCAGGTTGGAGGTTTGGAGTTCAGTGGCTCAGTCCTAGCTCACTGTAGCCTCAAACTCCTGGGCTCAAGTGATCCGCCCACCTCAGCCTCCCTAGTAGCTAGAACTACAGTCACTCACTATCACTCCTGGCTAATTCATTTTACTTTATTTTTTAGGAGACTGGGTCGGGGGGAATTCTCTATATTGCCCAGGTTGGTCTCAAACTCCTGGCCTCAAGCAGTCCTCCTGTCTGGGCTCCCCAAAGTGCTGGAATTACAAGCGAGCCACCGTGCTGAACTAGGAAGCTTTATTTTGTTATTGTTCTTGCCTATACTGCTAAGTTTCAAGATTCTTTTTTAACAAAGATTTGTCAGTTTTTTCATGTGTTGAAAATGTTTTTAAAAGTTAAGAAGACCCCACAATAAACATTTATTTTATTTTTGTTTATTTGTTTATTTTTTGAGTTGGCGTCTCACTCTGTCGCCCAGACAGGTGATCCTTCCACCTCGGCCTTCCAAATAGCTGGAACCACAGGCACGCGTCACCATGCCCGGCTAACTTTTTGACTTATTGTGGAGATGAGGTCTCGCCAAGTTGCCCAGGCTGGTCTCGAACCCATGGGATCAGGTAGTCCTCTCACCTCGGCCTCCCAAAGTGCTGGGGTTATAGGCGTGAGCCACCGCGCCCGGCATAAACCTTTATTTTAAAAGGAGAAAAAAAGCCCTGGGGAAGCGCCCCCATGCAGCTGGGAGCCTGAGCCTGGTCATCTGCATTTCAGCTTGTTGGGGTGCCAAGCTCTGGGGTCCTATCTAGTGGCTCGCACCTCCTCCCTGGCGTACAGCCGGTCTGGTTGCCATGGAGACAAACCTATCTGCGCGGCAACTACCGAGCCGTGGGCGGTGGAACTGGAACCCGGGGAGCCAACCTCTGCAACAGGCTGGGGGCGGAAGGAGGAGCCAGGAAAAGCGGCGCCTACGCTGAGAGGCCCAGCGGACCCTGCAGAGGCCCCCTGCCCCGCTGGCTCCGCCCTCCCACCTCCCCCACCCCAGGTGGCAGAAATACAGTCGCAGCCCCAGACGCCGCCCACTGCGCTCCAAACCGGCGTGAACTTGACCGCCTGGACCCAGCTGACCGGCCCGCTCGCGCTCCGTACCCATGGCTGAAAGACTCTTTCGGCGCAGACCCTGGGGTCCCGAGCAGATTCGCCCAGATCCTGACCCCGAGTCCGACGGCCTGTTTGACAAGCCTCCCCCGGAAGAGCCCCCTGCTGCCCGCGCGCCCAAGTCCGCGGGCAAGAAGGCTGGTCGGCGCGCCGGGGGTAGGGCGCAAGGAGCCCGCGCCGGGCAGCCCCCGAAGGCCGCCGCGCGCCCCCCGCCCAAGGAGGAGGCGCCTCCACTGGACGAGGGCTTCTATCTCGACCATTTTCCGTACCTCTCCCTCTTTATCTACGCAGCCATCGCCTTTCTCCATAACCTCCTGCATCTTTACCTATATCCATTTACAGCTTGCCTGATTGGTCAGGGAGGAACGGGGTGGGCGCAGGGCCGAGCGGGGAAGGAAAGAGAATAAAGGGCTCAGCGTATTGTGTTTTGGAGAAGCGCTGCACCCCTTTCACCTGGCTTTCGATGCTTGTTTGTTTCCTTCTCTGTTATTCCCATCTTTGATTAACTGTCCATCAGTAGGAGATCCAAAGTATCTGTGGACAATGAAGTAACGATGTTCTTTGTACCTGCAGGTTGGGGGGTGGGGGCACAGTCAGCCCCCAACGTTCAGAATTCCGGGGTGTGATTGAACCCCGTTTGTAATTAGGATACTGTCCCTGGGCCCTATCACTTTGTAACGTGGGGGCACGCGCAGGGAGCCCATCATTTTGTGTTTGGGAACGCAGAGAGCGCTCAACCTTCTGTTCATTAAGGGATAAGCTAGACCCAGGCATGTGGCCTTCCAGAGAGAGCCCGGCAGGGAGGGTCGGCGCCCTGGCCCAGGCTGAGCTGGAGCCCTGTGATGCTGCATTGCCACCAAGAGGAGCCAGCTGTGCCCAGGAGTTGGCGCCGGCAGGAGGAGGAGGACAGGAGCGCGCAGCGGGCGCCGCCAGAGCACAGGACCCGGTGAGTGGTGTTTATCGGGTATCATGCTGCCCCCCCAGGGGCTCAGGTTGACCCCGACTATGCATGTTTCCTGCCTTAGACTTAACTGCCCTTGCTGGGCAGAGCCGAGACCCATAGCTGGAGGAGCTGTTCCACCAGGAGGCCGCGCTCAGAATGTGTCTGGAACTGCGTGGGACCTGTGGCTGCAGAACCTCTGGGCCGCGGACCTAGAGCTGGCGCGCTCCTCGTGATGAGACTGTGAGGGTTCTGATTCGGGTCCGTGAGATGGTCCTCTTTGGGGACTCTGAAATGGTTTGATTCTAGCCCGGAGCTCTTCCAGAGCTGTGGACTCACGATAAAGGGGTTGAGAGATTTATCATTGACAAGAGCTTGTCCTGGAAAATCGCCCAACCTCCAGGGGGCTTGTCATCTCAGATTCAAAAGGCTTAATACGGGAACCCACTTTGGCAGATTATTCACCCACCTGTCATCTCTATTTACTCATGAATATTGTGTCAAAACGCGGTACTCTAAACCTGTATATAACTTACTTGGAAATGTCTGTAATTGTGGTACCTCTGATGGAATAAATCACCCCTTTTCCAGTCTCCTCTATATTGCATTCTCCATTAATTTCCAGCCATACAGTGGACCCTGCCAAACCTCCTAGTCTGCTCCACAACATCCCTACTGTCCCTCCAAAACAGACTTCATCCCATGATCCAACATTTCAAGATCTAGCATCTCTCCCCACTAACTCGCTACCCCCTCAATGGCATATTTTTCCATATCAGGTCCCCACAACATGCCAGTATCCAAATCTACAGTCTCCTGACAGCAGGACTGCCACTATCCCATTGTGGCATTACCTACTGCCCCTCAAAATTCAGTCCCCACTTCCCTCCATTATCAAGACACCTTGGCTTAGTACAGTCTCCCAACTAAGCTCTGGAATTTGGTCCCTGACTAGCCCAGGTTGAGTATTAATAAACTCAGTGTTTTCCAATATCAGGGCCTCACCATTTCCCAGTTCTGACTTCTCATGATCCCATATCACTGTGTGCCTTGGTATCTTCTCCCTGTACACTTTATTTCAGCACCACAAAAGTGGCATCCACTGTTCCCCAATGTCAGTCCATACTTTACTACCTCAGTTTACTACAATAATTCCCCTAACAATCAGTGACTCTGTTCCCTAAAATTATATCTCCAAAGTACCACAATATGTTTTCAGTCTTGGATATTGGATCTTCTTCTGTCTCTTAGTATTGACTACCCACTGAATCCCATTATATAGCCTGGTGCTCTCCAAACATTTGCTCCTATTATTTACCATTCACACATGCCCTATTATCTCTCATTGCACAGTCCTTCAAGGACTACTTAAGATATATCTCCCATTATCCTTCTCTCAGCTAATCTGATAGTAGACTCCTTCCCCTACTACCAAAACCAAAGTTCCCTGTTCCTCCACATTTGGTACCTTTTCTCACAATATTGTGACCCTTTTTGCACCACCAAATCTGGACCTTCATTTTCTTTTTCTTTTTTTTTTTAAATCGGAGCCTCACGCTGTTGCCCAGGCTGGAGTGCAATGGCATAATCACAATAATCATGACTCAGGCAGCCTCAACCTCCTGGGCTGAGGCAATTCTTCCACCTCTGCATCCTGAGTAGCTGGGACTACAAGCGTATGCCACCATACCCGGCTAATGTGTTGCTTTTTGGGTTTTTTTTGAGTTGGAGTCTCACTCTGTCGCCCAGATTGGAGTGCAGTGGCCGCTCCC